TTAAATTATGCAATTATTTGTTTCAATAAATATGATAAAAATTTTTTCACTAAAGTAATAATTGTAAAAACATTTTTTTGAATTTCAAGATTAATTTTTCTTTTTTCTTCATCACTTTTTTTTAAATCTCTTTTATAATCATCATATTCTTTAGTAATTTTTTCTAATTCTTTTTTAATTTAATCATAATCGCTTATATAAAGTTTTATATCTTTTTTTTTCATTCTTAGCTTTATTATATAGTTCTTTCCATATTTCTGCTTTTAGTTTATATCTTTCTTTATTTTCTTCAAACCTTCTATTTCTATTTCTTTTGTTGTAAGTATTTTTTGTAATTCTTTAATTTTTTTTTTATCTTTATCATTTTCTATTTTTAAATTATTAAATATTGTTTTCTATTTTTCTTTTTCTTTCATTAATTTAACATTTTGTTCTTTTAATACTTTATTTTTTTTCTTTTCAACATTAGTGATTTTTTACTTCTTGATACTTCTTTTTTTTAGTTATTAAATAAATATTAATAAAATTATAAAAATAATAATTAAATAATTAAATAATTACCTGTTAGTTCTTTTTTTAATTTTTATTTTTTTTAAAAAATTCTTGTTTTTGTTTTTTAAGTTTTTCTAATTGAATTTTATTATTTTTAATTTGTTTTTTTAATTTTGTTTGTTCTTTTACTATTTTTGCATTATGAAGTTTTTGTCTTAAAGATGTAATATTATTTAAACAAGCAGTACGTTAAATATAATAATAATTATATGTAAACAACATTTTTAAAAATCTTTAAATATAAAAAATTATTAATTTTATTAATAAAATTTAAAAAAAAAATATGTACATAAAATAAATATATACTTAAAAAAAATGATTTTTTTTTTAAAAAAAAACAAATACAAAATAAATATATTTAAATAAAAAACTAATTAATAAATTTTGCAATTATTTTTGTATGACCTCTTCTTTTTGAACTTCTAGTGGTAGCAGTTTTTGGGGCTTTTATATTTGTACTTTTAGATTTATGCACTGCTTCGTATATATTTCTATAATGTACAAAAATACTACCCTTATAATTATTTGTAGTTTGACTATTTTTATTAAGAATTAATCTGTATTTTCTAGTTTTAAAATCCTAGGTATATAATTTTAGAAGTTCGACTACGACAATAGAAACACTATTTGCAGCAAATATTCGAAGTAGCAGTAAAAATAAAATTAAAATAAAAGTATATTTTATTTTTAACAATCACCAATCTTAATACCACTAATGAGTGTTTGAAAATTTTTATTTATAAAGAAAAATTTAATTTGTTTTACAATTTTAAAAATTGTTAAATTATTGTTTTTTTTATATTAAAAATAATAAAGAATTTGGCGTAACTTTTAAATAATTGTATAACTTAATTTATTCATATATAAATAACGTAAAAGCAAAATTTCTCAAAGTAATCTTTTTCAAATATATATGCTTGTAAGTATTTTTTTTGTTTTTAGAATATTTTTTTTGATTTTTTTTGTTTGCTAAATTTTTTTTTATTGTAGTATCATTTGATAACTTTTTCTGTCTCTATAGAGGCTCAAATAAGGCTTGCATTATATCTTTATGAAAAATGCTATAATAGTATTATCTGTACAATTATTGCGTATTTTTGTTGCAGTATAATTTTGATTGGAGTTATATGAAATCTGTATAATTATAATCGATAGCTTCATGCTATTGTTTTTGGAACTTTAACATTTTGAATTTATACAAATATTGGGTCAATTTATACAGTATTATATATTTTAACTGTTCGTGAAATATTTTATTGTGATAAAGAAAAAAGAAAAAATAAAATTAAAAAATATATTTAAAATAAGTTTATTTTTTTTTTTAAAAAAAAATCATTTTTTAATGAATTTAAAAAAAATAACTATTTTTTACAAAAAAATAAAGATATTTTTTTTTTAAAAAAATAAAGGTAATTTTTTTTAAAAAAATAAGCGAACATTGAACAACCTTACAACCTGTATCTGATCCACTAACAAATAATAATAATCAAATATGTGATAAAGCAATTGCAAAATTTAATCATTTAAAAGAAGCTTTTTATAAACAAAATCAAAGTTTAATTTAAAAAAAATGAATATTAGAAAAATGCAGTTAAAGGGTCAATGATTCTGTTAAAAAAAATCTTGACGATGCAGTTTTAAAAATAAATAATAAACTTGATGATATTAATATTGAAGGAGAAGGGTTGATTATGAAAAAATTAAAAAAAGACAAAAGAAGCATGTACAGAAGTATTAGCTGAGGTTCAGAATTTTTTACCAAGCATCATTCCAGATATAAAATCATTGTTAACAGACAAACCACCTCTAACAGAATTTATTTAATTTTATTTAATAATATATTAATTATTGTTTTTGTTTTTTTTATTTTAAATTTTTTTTATAGTTTTGATCTTTATTGTATAAAATATTAAAATTTATATTTTATTTTTTTTAAAAAAAATATTTTATTTTTTTTTATTTTTTAAAAAATTTTTTTTATTAATAAAAATTAGGTCGCAAAAAGATTTTGCAGTTAAAAAATTTGGCAAATTAACCAGCACATATACAAGATTAAAACAAGAAAATGATACTTTACGTGAAGAAATAAAGAAACAACTTGAAGATATTAATAAAAAATTAAATATTGATACTTTAGCAACAAATTTAGCAGATAAATTAAAACCTTTAATTGGAGATATTAATTATGAAACAGTAAAAGAAAAATATAAAAAAGCATTAGAAGAAACACAAGATTTTTTAGAATCAATTCCTCAAAATATCGATAATTTATTAAAAAATTAACTGCCTATTCAAGAACTTTCTACTTCTAAATAATGTTTTTTAATAATTATATAAATACTTTGTATTTTTTTTTACTTTTTTTAAAAAAAAATAAAAAAATAAAAAATAAAGTATGTATTATTATTACGTATAAATTTATAATTTTTTTTATGATTTTTATTAATTAATTATTTTAGTATAAAATTAAGCAAAATTATTATTTTATTTTTGGTTTTATTAAATTTTGTCTTTACAAATGCACAACAACAACAAAAAAGATAGTCTCATTGTTCGATCTGTAAGAAAAACAATGTTGATATGGTTGGCTTTAATAAACGTATACATATAGCAATTGGTAATCATCAACGAAAAAATATAAAACAAAACAAAAGACAAGTTAAATGTAGTATTTGTAGAAGAGTAGATTTGTATTTTTTATTTATTAAAATAAAAAATTTTTTTTTAAAAAAAAAATACAAAAAATAAAAAAATACAATTTTTTTAAAAAAAATTATTCATCATTAGGTGGTAATTTACCATATAATTCTACCATCTTATTATACTTTGTTTTAATTTATAATATTTGTCTTTAAATTCTTCATAGTCTTTTTTTATAATTATGACCGTATCATATAATGTTTGATTTTTTTTATATTTAATTGAAAGCTTAATTTTTTCAAATTGAGCTTTAATATAATTACATAATTTGCATTAGAAATCTTGTTCATTAATATTTTTTCTTATTTGCAAAAGTGAACCATGAATTTTGTGATTTTTTTCGATCATATTATCGATATCATTTACTAAAGACATTTAAAAAATAACAAAAAGTTAGTACTTATTAAAAAAACAAAAAAAATAAAATAAAGAAAAAATTTTTTTCATAAATCTGAAACACAAAAGAGAGAACCAGCCAAGAAAAAAAAAATGTTAAAATAATGTTACTAACACAAGTAACAAAAAATAGTTACCAATAGAGAAAGAAATATTACAAACTATTTTTTTGTTAAGTGGTTGAAGTTGGCTACTGCAGATTTTTTTAATCATAGAAAAGAAAAATAAAAAAAAACAAAAAGAAATACTAACTTTTTACAAAAAAAAGTAACTTGAGAAGATATGAAAAAAAAGAAACAAAGTTTTTTAAAAATTTGTTTATCACCCAAAAAAGAAACAATATAAATTTTTACAAAAGAATTTTTAAACGCAATTATCAATAGTAATTACGCAATTTTTATCATCCTTAAAAAGGAACAATATAAATTTTTATACTATGATCGACAAATATATTATATTACAAAAATTATTAAATTATAATATAATATATTTGTCAATCATAGTATAAAAATTTATATTGTTTCTTTTTAGAGGTGATAAAAATTTCATTGGTAAATATTGTTTGAAAGAAACAAAACAAAAAATTGAAATAAAAAAAAGAGGTTTTGACGAATATTTTTTTTATTTTTTTAATCTTATTTTTTTTTAAAAAAAAAATTTATTATTAATTTATTTTTAATTAATAAAAAAAATAAATAAAATTCAAATAAAATAATTGAAATAAAATATAAGAAATTAAATTAAAATAACCGGTAGTGATCATCACTACTCTAATTTTTAGTTTTAGGTTGCATTTTTAGAAAAAGCCAGTAGTCAAATATAAAGGTTCAAATTTTAGGTAGGGTTAGGTTTTTGGGGGTTCTGAACATTTTTGCTTAGTATCCCAAGATGTGTTAGCTAGTAGATTTTTGAGATATAGCACCCTGGTGATGATCACTACTAGTTATAATTAAATTAATCCAAAATATAATATTTAAAACATAAATATAAAATTATTTGATTTTAATAGTTATAGGACATGTCCTATCTAAATGCTGTTACTTATAAATCAAATGAGTTGACTCACCTAATTTTATATATAAATTTATGCAAAAAAATCATTTAAATTAAATTTATTTAAAAATATATATATAAACCTTTCTTTAAATTTTAAATATATATTCTTTAGCATTTAATAATCTTTAATCTAAAGTTTTAGTTTTTAATTTTAAGTAATTGAGTAATAATCTTCCTTTAAAGTTGATCAATTCTTTCCTATATTCTTTAAGTCAAATAAGTGACTCACTCTATCTAATAATATGATTAGTTAAAATAATCTTTTAAAAATATGAAAGATGTTATTAAGTAAAGGCTTCTTCTGCTTCTAAGTAAAGTTAAAAAGAAGGTTCTTCTAATTCTAATGATAGTTAATTCGTGATCTGCCAGTGAACCAGTAAAAAACTATAGTAAACTTTGGGGATATGTTTACTATATAAATTTTGTCTTTTTTGGAATCTGGAGTTTCCCAAAGAAAAAGTTTTTTCTTTATTAAGCAAACCTCCTTTTAATGACTAAGTAAAGTTGTAGAGGAGTGTCTTGCGATCAGAATAACGATTAAAACATTAAAATCGGTCTAGTGAATCGCGAGATATAAGTATTTTAGTCTTCGCAACTATATGTTTTCTTCTTTATATAAATAAAGAAGAAAACATATAGTTGTGAAGACTAAAATGCTTATATCTCGCGATCTACTAGACCGATTTTAACGTTTTAATCGTTATTCTGATTACAAGACACTCCTCTACAACTTTATTTAGGCATTAAAAAGAGGTTTGCTTAGTAAAGAAAAAACTTTTTCTTTAGAAAACTCCAGATTCCAAAGACAATAGTAAATTTTCCCACTTTTTACTATGTCTTTTCACTGGTTCATAGGCAAATCACGAATTAAATCATCAAAATTGGTTTGGTGGATCTCAAGATACTTGGGATCAAAGAAGAGAATATAAAGATCTGCAAATTTACTGTTACACAAAGTATTATAATTTATAATACTTTGTGTAATAGTAAATTTGCAGATCCTTATATTCTCTTCTTTGATCCCAAGTATCTTGGGATCCACCAAGCCAATTTTGATGATTTAACT